ATCTTTCATACTAATGTGCACTAGATGCATAAACGATGCCACTTAAGAGTTCTTAGTAACAGAATTCATGATCCAGGAGAGACTATAGCATTACATCTATCCCATTGATTGTGCAAGCTAACTGGAAACTATTCTTTGTGTAAGTTCCATCAATAAATCCAATCTATTTTTTAGCTAACAATGCAATTCTCATAGATCTACTCCATAATGAGTAATTATCAACACCACTTAATTGAAAAGAAACGAGAACAGCACCTGAGTATCAGAAGGATGAAGGTAAAGCTGATGACTAAAATCGATTGTTGAGCTCGATTGATCATTTCCATTATTTGCAGAGATTGCGTCTCTCCGTTCGCATGACATTTGCCATTTTGGAAGAATGAAGATGATAGCTTCTTGATCAGAATAAATGAGATCAGTTAATAGACGAAATCCTGAGGAAATGATGAACAGACGAAACGGATGAATCAGTTGACGAGCTGATGAAACAGATGGAACTGATGAATCAGTGAAGCCGTGAATTCCTGATGAACAGAGTGAAGTTGAGTGAAGTTCTCTGTAATTTTAGAATTCTCAAACCCTGGAATTATGGCTCTGATACCATGTTAATTTGGGGGCAAGAAATGTGAAAATGAAGAATTCTCTTATTCCATCATAATGAGAAGTTTGTTACAATGTTGCTTATATACAAAGAAATAATACACAGCCGTTTAACTAATTTCTCCTAACTATCTTAACAAACTTACAGCTCAGCATAACTAATCTCTAACTAACTAAGTTTTCTTCTATATACATAACAACTTGATCTTTAACAGTTCAGAACCAATCGCATTATTTCTGGCTACTGAAAGAGGAATACTAGAGATTGTCAAGGAGATACTTAAACAAACGCCCCAGTTGGCTGAGTATATCGATGATAAGAAGCAGAATATGTTACATATCGCTATCATGCACCGTCAAAAGGAACTCTTCGATCTTGTGAAAGAGATGAATATACCAATGAAAAGGTTAGTCCGAGCGATCGACAAAGATGGCTACACCATTTTACACCATGCTGCAGACATGACAAATGATAATGCAGATATTCACCATGGTCCTGCACACTATCTACAAGAAGAGTTAAAGTGGTACAAAGTAAGCGTTGTATAAATCTTTACTACTATTTTTTATTGAATAACGTGATTGTGTATAGGGTTTATAACAGAAATCCCCCTATGATAATTCTCCCGTGGTTGTACTAATAACAAATATTCTCCTGCCATTTAGTTATTGGTATACAAATAAACGATAACAAGGTAATTTTATAACTATTTATTAACTCATCATGTTAAAAATTCTAACAATACTCTAACGGTTCACTAACAACATGAGAATTTCTGTTATTTTTGAAATCTTAGGGAGCAAAAATAACTATTTAAACAAGAATTAAATAAAGTAAAACTTGGAGATAAAATATATGTGTTGTAAAAATCAGAGACAATGAAGATGAAAAATCTATTGGATGTTTAGGAGACCAACACAAGGATTGGTAGTCTTACTAAAAATTTAATGAGGAGATAATTAATTATGTCTTCCATGGAACGTACTCTATCTTATCTTATATTTGTGCATATATATGCAGCGTGTGTTAGCGCCCACCCATTTTGCCATGGCCCGTGTAACTACAAAAGATGACAATAAAGAAGACAAGAATTGCAATTGCAATAAAGAAGACAAGAATTGCAATCGGAACAAAGAAGAGAAGAAATACAATTGTAAAAAGCTGTTCGACCCGAGGCACAAAGAACTCCTCAAAGATGCACAGAGATGGGTAAAAGAGACTTTTCAGTCTTGCTCTACGGTGGCTGTTCTCGTCACCACCGTGGTGTTTGCAGCTGCTTACACGGTACCTGGAGGTTCCAATGAAAAGGGTTATCCAGTTTTCCTCAACAACAATTTCTTCATGTTTTTCACTGTCATGGACGTTTTTGCTTTAGCCTGCTCCTTGACCTCGGTGGTAATGTTCTTATCTGTCCTCACTTCACCTTTTAATTATGAAGAATTCCTTTACAAGCTCCCTCGAAAACTGACAATAGGCTTCACCTTACTCTTCGTTGCGTTGACTACAACAATGCTTGCATTCGCGGCAGCATTATTGCTCATCGTTCATTATCAAAAACCACATTGGACTACCACTCTCATTTACATTACTGCATTTTTCCGGGTCAGCATATTTCCACTTACGCAGTTCTCTATGTATGTTGCACTTAAGGTAACTTTGCTCACGTTTTGCAAGTGGATTAAAAAGGCTTTTCCTCGTAAACGGTCTAAGAAGTTGCTGGGTACATTTCTTCCGGTCAGGCAATTCCCTATGTATGTTGCATTTAAGGAAACTTTGCTCAAGTTTTACAAGTGGATTAAGAAGGCTCCTCGTAGTAAATGCTTTAAAAAGAAGCTTCCGATGAATGATGAGTCCTATTGTGTCGTCCAAGTAGAATGATGATCATGGGGCCAGACCTCCAATATGAGGGATTTATACAAGTTGCTCGAAATGGTAAAGGAAGCTGGCCAATGCAAGAGACTTGTATTGGAATTTAATTAAAGGCTTGTGTATTTATTAATTTCAGATTGAATATTTAATTATGGTGTGTGTCTTGTTGATTCTAAAGTGTTGTAGCATGCTTGATGTTGCTAAGTAACTTGAGATAAGAAGTGTGTTTTCAAGGTAGATTGTCATTTCAACTTACTTTTTAGTATACTCTTACTGTTTGACCGAGCTTATGAAAATTAGCTTATATGTAGTTAGTGCTTATAAAGTAATTTAAGTTTATAAGTACTTGAAATTTAAGTAGTTACGCGTTTGGTTAAAGTACTTATAAGTAACTGATAAGTAGTTAACGCGTTTGATAAAATGTGGTGATAATATTAAAATGACTAAAAAAGGTATTCAATTTTTTTATCAAATAATAAATTATATTAACTTAATTTTTTACTATAATATTATCAAAATATATTTAGATCATATTACAATATAATTTAATTTTAGAATTAATAAACAAATACTTTATAGATAAATATTTTATTAAAAATTTATATGAATTATTTTTAGATTCTTTATACAAATAAATTAATGAACAAATATAATGAATTATAATTATATTAAAAAAAAAAAAATTTCAATCAAAGTATAAAATAAGGATAACATGGTAATATACTTGGTCAAAGTAATTTATAAGCCAAGTGGTTATAAGCCAAAAAAAAAAAAAAAAATGTAGGTAATGAGCTGCCAAGTGATTGTTGAAATATCTAATTCAACTAAAGCTTCTAAGAGTCTGTTTGGCTGAGTTTATGAAAATTAGTTTATAAACAGCTAGTATTTATAAGCTAATTTGGGTTTTTAAGCATTTAAAGTTTTAAGCAGTTATGTATTTGATTAAAGTATTTATAAGTGATTCATAAGCAGTTGACGCATTTGATAAAATGTGGATTATAGTATATTTTATTATTAAAATAACTAAAAAGGATACTATATTATTTTATCAATTAATAAATTATACGAAGAAATTTTAAAATTAAATAAGGATAATGTGGTAATATATTTGGTCAAACTCTGCTTATAAGCTGTAAAAAAAAAAAAAAAAAAAAAAAAACATTATAAGTAAAAAAAAAAATCATAAACATACATGTCAATTTAATTTTAAAGTTTTATAAGCTAATTTAAATCAGCTTATAAGCTAGTTTTAGACAAACACCACCAAGACAAGGCTAGTTTAATTGGGATTGTAGTAATTTACTTTTTCTTTTAAGCGCGGATATATAAGACATGTCAAAAGACTAAAATAATTATTAAATTATATTATTGAAATAGCTTTTTGTAAACTTTGATTTTTGTTGATCAAAGCGTTGGTTGACAACTTCCTACCATTTTAATATTTTTAAATTTATAAATAAATTATTAATTACTTATTTAAATTTGTATTGTATATGTGAAGGGCAATTTTTGTAATTGACTTTCCAAAGCAGTTTCTAATCCTAAAAGTTAGGGAAACATATTTTTAGAATTTTTTTATAAAATAGATTATTATAACCTACTTCTATAATCATGCATAAAACGTACACGTTCTTTCCAAAACTACATTCATTGCCAAATATTCTAATTGATAGTTTATGCTTTATGGAACAAGTGATTATGGGAGAAAGCTATAACAACTCTAAACTCACCCTAAAAATGTGTTAATAATTTATAAATCATGAGTAAGGAGGTAATGTATGGTTTTTCTATCAAATAAAATTTCAAGTTACCGCTTAGTTTTTCTATCAATGCTGACTTGTCCAATAATAAAATTGTCTAACAAAGAATCCAACAAACACCCATCCATTGGCAGCCTAAATGATTAGGATGAATCAGGAATAATGTAGATAGTTATACAGGCATGATCTCATATTTGATTCTTCATTTGAGCACTCTCAATTTAAATAGGAGGTCGTGACGGTGAGTTGCTGTCTTAGTCTTCTTTAAAGATTAGTCGAGGTACGTATAAACTAACTCAGACACTTTAATTTAAAAAAAAAAAAATCGGCCACTAAAGTTAAATTAATCAAATCGATCAACCCATTACTCTTGTTGATTAAACTAAGTAATTTCTTTAGCCTCAGCTTAAATCACGAGAAATATTTTTTTTACATCTTCAGACATGAGATCTTCCTTATCATTAGCTAATTAATTCCACTAGCTGGCAATCGATTAGATTTTTTTTTTTTTTTCAGTGTTAGTTTCTGTGTGTTAATCTTTTTTTGGGTAAATGTAGTTCCTGAAACAAACTTTAAAGCCACACAATCTCTATAAGCACGCATATATATTTGTGTCAATTACATTCTTTATTTCTTGCAGCCTCTAGTCCATTCAATTCTTTGACAACTTGAAAATTCTTCTTTAATTCAGTGTTGACACAGCGGCAACAACAACAATCCAAAGTTAGGATCCATAACTTTATATACTTAGAAGCATGACTTTATTAATATATTTTTGGCAAACAACATACAATATAACAAACGTATCAGTGGATGAATAACAAATGTTTATCTTTTTGTCTCCATTTATTTGGCAACATTTTGCTAAGCACAAACAAAAGCTTAATTCGGTGAGCTTCTTTCTTTAACAGATGCATAATTAATAAGCAATCCTCCCTTCCATCTGTTACTCCAAATTTCATATAAACCAAAGAAAAGTTCCTGTTTACCTACACCAGGTGGAATTTGAACGGTGAACTGTTTTCCATCAGTAGGAATATCTGAAACAGTACCAGTACCAGTTGCAGGCGGCGGCTTCAGTGGATCAATCATTTGCCATGTGTAATTTCCATCATGAGTCTTAGCTATCAGAAAAAGTGGGAGGCCATTCCACCCAAAGGCGCCAGGATTCAAAGTAACGTTGAACTTTATTATATATGACTTCCCAGTTTCTACTTGTGTTGTACCGGTTACCTGAAGCCAACACACCCGCTTTAGCTCTGCAGGACCGTTTTGCCTGTACAGTGACATATATACAGGATTTTTCAGATTTATAGATATTATACAGTATACACTACTACAAGAGAAAACTCTAATAAATCATGTTTGAATTGCCAAGTCATAACAACCTTTAACTTTACTTATCACTGTTAAATCAATAAAAATTAACAGTTCATAAGGAATATCAAAAAATTAAATTAATAATATAAGTCACAATACCCTGATCATATATATAATGGACTTTAATAATTAGATAAAGGGGGATTTTCTTACGATTGCTCTGGTAGTTTCCAGTAACTTGGGTTGTCGCCCCATGTAAATTTAAGATCTCGAGGGTAGATTTTTTTTTCCTGTACATTTCAAAATTAGTTCTCACTTTCATCATATATGTTTCTCAACATGCAACCTAAACTCAACATTTAGGTCATAAATTTAATAACATATTCCATAAATTTAATAATAATTTGCATACTTTCATCTAAATCAAATCAAGATTCACTAACCCTTACAATTACCTCCACCAAAAAGAAAACCAAAAAAGGAAAAAGAAAAAGAACAATAATCTAAGTTAAAACATGTATCAAATAAAATAAAATAACATATTTTCATATACGCATATTGAAAAAAAAAAATTATTCTCAACAGATATAGAACTTTATAATATATGAAAAAATAAATAAAAATCAAAAGATAAAAAAGCTACGTTGGACCTCATCTTCTTCTGCCTTCTTGCCTTCGTTTTTTTTTTTCTTTTTTAATCAAAATAAAGTACCCTAATTAATATATTTCCTACACATGTATTTGTGTGGGTTTTCAAGAAGAAGTTAAAGAAATATGTATTAAGGGGCATTTTCGTTCTTCAAAATTAGGAAATTGAACTAGGCTATTTTGTTAAACACTTGCCACTTTGGGGCTAGATTTTATTTTACACACTAAAACATAACTAAATTAAAAAGATAATATACTTCAAAAATAATTTTTGATACAGTTCTCTACTCTCAATAGTAAGGTAATATAAAAAAAATAAAGTCTAAAACATATATCTATATATGAGAAAAAAAAATATATCTAAGACCCAATTGGTGCAGTATTTTTTTTTTTTTTTATTAAAAAGAAAAAAGCCCTTGGACCCAGATCCAAGAATTCTAAGACATGGTTATTTTTTTTTAATCCAAATATCATTATGCTCATATCAAACCAAGATTCAGTATCCCTTACAATGTCCACAAAAATAGAGATAATAAAAATAATGTTAGTTAAATTATGTACCAAACATAATTACGAGGGAGAGGAGAGAGAGAGTATAACTGGTTTTTCTTCATGCTGAATTGTGATGGGAGACCAATTATCCTTCTGTCCGTCGCTCATTTTCAAAATGATCATCTTCTTTCAATCGAGATTTGATTTATACTAACTTTTCATGAAAACAATATCATTAAGGTCCATGCGTTTTAAGGAATTTACATTTACGCCCTTGTTAAAAACTAGTATTCATCACATATTGTCATATTCCCTTTAACCATACCCCAGTGGTGTCAGCCCTTTTAGTCTTTTACCTGCCATTGCCTTATGTGCCCTTTACAGCTACCATGTCCTTGTCTCTGCTCAAAGTCATTTTTCTCCCTAAATGAGACAAATTCATGTTAGAAATTGATTTTATTTTTAAAATTAATTATTTTTCTGTTAAATATGAAATAAATTTTGTATTTAAGTAATTATTTCTTAAATTGATTTGTTTTGTTAAAACAGGAAAGAAAAATATAATAACTATAAATGCTTTTAAATAGTTACATAATAAAGTATAAAAAAATATTTAAATATTTTTATATGTTAAAAGTTTTATGTAAATATTAAAGTAAACCAAGGATTAAATTGTCTTCTTAATCAATTTACATTAATTAGCAAACCTGACTTGAGGTGAATTTCATTTTCACCACCAAACTGTCGCAAATGAAACGTTTTCCCCCTTAATTTCAGAAAAACCCAAAATCACCCCCATCTTGGAGAGTAAGTTGTTGAAGAATCAGAATAATTAAAGTTGGAAACAAAACGTGGTTAGGGAATTTTTGAAAGGGGATGTGAATGAGACAGTTAGTTTGTTCAATTGCATACCCATTAAGCAAGGAATAAGTATAGAGTAACTTTATAAACAATTGGAAGGGGATCTATTCTTGCGTAATGCGTTTGCAAGGAGTAAAGTTGCTCTATATATTCCTTGCGTAATGGGTATGCAATTCAACAAACACTTTTCTTTAAAAAGAATTGAATGCATGGAATCTCCGTAAGCATACGATCCCCTTACTTTAATTGTATATCGTAAAAGTTGGGGCAATTTTATTCTTTCATTGACCTTTTGATGGACATGTTTAGTAAAAGTTGGGATAACGTTATCGCTTTATCTACCTCTTGATTAAGAGTTTATCAGAACATAATTCACAGTGAAGAACGGAGATAACATTATCTTCAATACTCTTATTAAAAGTAACATATTTCGTCCAATAGTTGATCACAATATAATCACTAGTCCAATGATTGAAAAGAAGAAAGATCTTAGTCACCATTAACATTAGTAAAATGTCCATTTGTAATTCAAGAGATAAAGTATATCACAGTATCGAGTTTGGGATTAGTGATTGAAACCAATTCTTCCTTTTCAAGTATCATCTTATCATCAAATAATAATGATAAAACGTTCACTCACAATCCAATCGATAGAACACATAACTGATACGAAATGTTCTTAAGAAAATACCCATCAACATTCAACAGCTCAAGTACATTACATAAGTCATTTTAGGAACTTTATTGAATGCTCATGAAAATATAGTAATAGATAGGGTGAATACAATGATAAATTGTCAAACTATGGAAATAGTTGTGCCATCCCAGATGGACCATCTAGTTAAAACTGCTAAATTGACTGATTATTACTTCTTTCTAATATTTGAGATTGGATAATAATATTACACACACACAAAGTGCACAGTCAATATATTGAATCTGACCATTTTCATTGACCTTATTTTCATAATACACTCTTTTAGAGTCTTTAATAAGGGCTTATATTGAAAAAAATGACCAATTTCTTTACTTAAAAGGTTAATAATTTCTCAAATAGACAGAATCTCCACCTTCAAAATAGCCTATGTCTTGGGATATTAAATTGGGGGCATCCAGGAAAACTTACTTCCACTTTTGCTTCGAAGCAACAAAAACAAAATAACTTTCCATTTCAAGAACAAGGCATCCAAAATTGAGTCTCATGAAATTTGCTTGCTCTATGATCTTCTCCTTTGATCCTACCACAGTACTGGTTGATAACTTTATCGATCCTTGAAATCAAAGGAACAGCAATCAAATAACAATATAATGTCACATATGAAACAGCTTTCCTGCGACCGCTGAACACGTAAAGTGGCTGGCTAACATTTCTCAAATCATATTCTTTCGGAAGAATATCTACAGTAAGCTCTAGATAAAAAATGTCAGTGCACATTTATGCAAAAATCCAGTAGAAAAATTAAGAGAAAGCGTAACTCATATGGATAAAAAACCAGAAATAATTGAAAGAGGACATTTGATGATAATAAATGCAGGTTTAATCGAAAAGCATGAGCATGTGGTCTACTGAAGCTAAAAGAGAGATATAGCTAATAACTATACCTGACTAGTCGTTACTTCCCAAACAGTTACTATCCCCTCGTAATCAATGCTAGCAATGTGAGTTTTTGTATACTTGCTCCAACTCAAGCAACTAAGTTTAGCACGAGTGGTCATTTCCATAATGGGATGCTGCACATCTGTTGGTTCATTAAACACCTGTTGCAATGAAAAAAACAGGTATTGAATGATCAAGTAACAGTAATCACAAAAGCATATTGCATGAGTCAAAGTAACCTATTAACAGTGCGCCATACTGCATAGCAATCTCAAGCAGGAAGCAAGAAATTTTCATCTTCAGCAGTAGGATTGTAAAGAACTAGTTAGGTTAGAGTTTGATATACAGTATGCTCTAAATAGTCCATAACAGCACTACCCCATCCCATCACAGAGATGTCATGCTTCATTGCTAGCCATACAAATAATAGAAAATCTCCTTCCCACAACCAATTTTACATACTGAAAAAACTAAAAAGTGTTTGGAATCAAAGAAACAAATAACCATACATAAATATCCAACTAGTAAAGAAAAAGAAATATATGCTATTTATCTTGGTTTATTGAAATATTTTCTCACTTTTTCTGTTACAATAAATGTATTTATTATGACTTGTTATGTCACTCATACAAGAAAATAATGTTTTTATATACTAAGTTATGAAGAGAAACTTAATACAACTAGGATTTTTTTTTCCGACGTCCAACCCTATTAGGAGTTCTAATCCTTAGAAAATCCTACAGGCTATACATTATATAAACCAAACCGCTTACAGGCCCGAGGGTGCTGCCCCCCTGAGACCCCCGCCCGCTCTCTGTTAAAAATGCAAGAGTGCAGTAAACAAGCTGCAATGCAACTCAGCTGAAGTTGAAGAATGTGTCAATCAAAGAAGGAAGCAAGTACGTTTTGAAATTAAGATTGAAGTAATCGTACTTGCAGCTGTTTGAAGTTGAAGCTACTGCGCGCAGCTGCATTGTTTTGCTGCTTTTAATTTACTGTATTGATACTGTAGCAGATTACTTAGATATAAGGAAAGAAGAACTAGAGATTAAACGGCCGCATTTTTCACTTTTCCGCAGATCATACGGTCCAGAAATTGTAACTTTGTGTTAGTTTGTACGTAAAAACTGAATGGCTGAGATTACTTGCTGAGGATAATGACTTGTATTGCCAAATCAGATTTATTTTGTAACTACATGGGCGTTTGGATCGTGTTGAAATTTTTTAACTAGGGTAATATTTGTTTAATTGTTTGGCATTTTGGTATAAAAACATTACCGGAAAATAAGATGAAAAACAGTGCCAAAAAGAGGGTAAATAACTGGGAATAATATTATCTGGGGGGAGGGTGGTATTAAAATATTATTTCGGTAATCCAAATTTCTATCCAATTTTACCCCAAAACAGTGGACAATGTGGACGCAAATATCCTTGGCTTTGTTAATAATTACAAAACACCCAATTTGTAAAATAATAAAAACACCCCCACCACTACAGTGCCAGATTTCAGCCATCACCATCAGAATCTGATCGGAATCTGTCATTACGACTCAGACTGATCGAATCTAGGCGGTGGTGTGTCGATCTGGCCTTTTCTGGCCAGACCTATCATGAATCTGGTCGAAAAAAGCCAGATCTGACTGTCGACGACTACAAAAGGCTAGATCTAATCATCAACGATGACCAAAGAGATGGCCAAAGATTTGGCCGTCGTTGACCGTTAATGATGGCTATTTAAATTAAGAGACCACCCGATTAAATTAAGAGTACCTAAAGTCAAATCCAACGCGAACATGAGTATTAAATTTAATAATTATCAATCATATCCAAGGCCAAAAATCCCGGGTAAGCCCGGCCAGGGTATAAAGAAAGTGAGCCTTTTCCGAGCCCAGACCCTCACTTTTTAGTTACACATGGAGCCTAACTCGGGCAATGCCGGCTCAAATTGTTATTTTATTTGAAGCATGGCAGAATGAGTCACAAATGAAATAAGGATATACCCATTTCATCCCTGTATTTGATTTAATAACACTTTAATCTAGTACAAAATTTCAGTAACATTTTTAGTCTGTGTCTGTCAGCAACAAACCTCAGGACCAAATATTAATATTAAAATTCTACAGGACTAAAAAGTCATTAGACCAAACCTGAGGGATAAATTGTTATCATCCCGAAACAAATTGTTCTTGGCTGATAAAATTATTTCACTGTTCATGAAAGCAAAGCAACTTAGAACAAGTTCATTTCAGTTAGTATCAAGGACAAGGTGCGTCACTGACGAAGGAAACCTTATTTAACTTTGGAGGAGTTGTTACTTCAAAACGTAAATATATAGAAATAAATCCGTTAAGGCACCAGAATTCACAAAATGCTTAAGAATAGCTTCACATCTATTTGTTAAAAACTAAATACCCAATTTATGGAGATCCAAGCAACAATTCCCTCAACTCTTGAGAATCCATCAAAAGGACCAATGTGGAAAGGAGTAGCAGTTGTATATATTGTTGGAGCTTTGTGTAACTTCCCAATCTCAATTGTTGGTTACTACATTTTCGGAAACAATGTCGATGACAACATCCTCATCACATTAGAGAAAACCACTTGGCTTGTTGCTGTAGGTAACATTTTGTGGTCGTCCATGTCATTGGAAGCTACAAGATTAATCTAATTCAATAGTCACTCTAGTCTTCATCATCTGTCGAGTTTTACTTTTATATCTGAATTATTTTGGAA